TATTAATGTAACCGGTTAGACATTGTACTATTTTAAATGAACATTTCTTTACAAGAATTGAAATGTATCAATTAAATTTATTAAAAGATTTTTAAGATAAACTGATTTGACATTGCAAGCGGACTATCCGATATACATAATATTTTAAAGAATGTATATACTATAATAAAGAATGTATAAAACTATAATAATTTTATTGCTTCAAATACTATGCAATTCAACGACGGTCTCTGTTTTACCTACAGTGAACATTCGCTCGTGAGTCGTGAGGGGAATTTTTGTTGGGCGCCCGATGATTTTTACTCGGCGTAACCATAGAGATATAATTCTTATAAGTATCTCTATAGGCGTAACGGTAAAAGTTGTTAAGGTTAGGTAAAAAGTCCGGAGTTACGACCTAGTCCTACGTTTACCGTTCTGCAATTTGCACGGTAATTTTTATGGGCAATAACTATAAAATTTATAAAAAATTTCTCGCAGTGTAGCAATAGATGTATTACGAATTGGACAAAATGAAATAATCAATCATTACTATTTATCAATAAAAAAACTACTAATTAAAATGTGTAAAAGAGTGTAAAACGCACCTGATACGTCCAGTATAAAGAAAATTCGTACACTATAGGTGTGAATATTCTTTAATATTTATTTTATTATTACCAAAATTACATTTCCTGATGTTTTACACTTAAAATTCTAAAATTGTCTCAAACAGATATTCAGTTGAATTAAAAAAAAAAGTTATTACATAAATTGATTTAGTTATATACGACTCATGGCACTGTCTTCTTAACAGGGATACGTACAATTACTTTATTTAAACAAACTACTTGTCATAATAACTGATAAATTGACGCTTCAAGTAATTTTTGATGTATCAAAGCTCTACTACGTTTCCATTATTAATTTATCTTTATAAAATTACGATAAGATTAAAAAAGTTTTAACTTTTTAACAAAAATAGAATTTTCCAACAATGTTTCTATCTCAATATGGCCCGTTCATTTACTTGGCGTGAAACATGTATTAAAAAAGTTCTTATATAATTTTATTCAAGTACTTCAGCTTTGCTGGGTATAACGTTTTACAATGTTTGCAATCCTTAGAAGAAAACATTCATTCAAAATTTAGATTCACACACGTGCGTGTAAGTGATATTCTACCTCAAAAAGACAGTTAAACAGTATCTTACATACCTCAGTTTGAAAAGTAAAGAAAGTGTTAAATAATCCGTGTATTTTCCGAGGCAAAGCTGAGGAAAATAAATGAACTATTTGAGGCTTCTTTACTTCTGGGTGTGGGTTGTAAAAAATTTCTGGTGTTTCGCGGAAGGGAATGTTTGCTTTACAAACTGCAGATTTGAAAGCAAATTTTATATCGATATTCGTCTTGATTGACAGTTTTTTTGTGAGCAAGTACTTCAAAGTTCCAATGATAAATCAACAAATGTTTAAACAACAGATCATGTATCACACGATAAATCAATACAGTATTTTATTGATGGTTTGAACGTTGCCATCGCTTCTAGAGGATTTTTTTATGTTTGCTTTTAAACATTGTTACATAGTACAATATACAATAATGAACTTTTAGTTATCTTTTTTTTTCTTTCGTTTAAAGCATTTAAAAAAATTTGATCAAAATACAAATTTCAAATTTGTGATCGTTGTTACGTGGGTAATTAGAATCCATAAGATGTATTATTTTCTTACGAAGAACAATTAACCGACACAGGTTTTGACAAAAAATTTTTTTTGGCTGTCTGGCTTGACGTGAAATATTATAAATACAGATTACAAGTCACTTATTTCCATAGTACGAAATTTTAATCCATAGTATACTATTAATTTATTTTTATTATAAATTGTCTGCTAATAGCAATAATATCTATCAAATTTATTTAAAAGTCTTTGGAGCTGATTGACTGAGAAATTTTTGCTTGCAGAAACACGCTTAGCTGGATACCAAAAAGTCTTTTTAAACGCTAAACTGGTATTGAAAATCCAGCATCGATTTTTTTCACGTTTGTGTTAAAATCCGCGATATTACATTGAGTGCCGAAGCTCCGTGTCAAGGAGTTTAGTGAACGCTTTCTCGTGCTAAACGAACGATACGGCCAAGTGCGATCGAGAAACTCATTAGGATCGTAGATCGACTTGCGTAGGTGTTTTGAACATCGATGCCAGTTTATTAGTGGCTTGGTGGACCTTGTGGCCAGGTCACTACTGCTAGCTGACAGTCGAGAGTTGCAAGCATCACGAGTGAGACTCTTGTGCAATATCAAGGATTCAATCTTGGATCAGGAAGCCCATGCAAGATCAGGTGCCGAGCCCTTCCCAGTTTTGTTGGACCAAGCATTTTGCGACAAACTTCTTGTACTGTTTGCTTGTTTAACTTGCTGTAGTGTGGATAACGAATAGTTTATCTCATACTTCCTGGACTTGCAGTCTCTGTAAAAATAAATGAAATAGCTATATTAGTCATCATGGTATCAGATATCACCATAAATAAAATGTCAGTAGTATTAAAAAAAAATCTATTCAGTATTTTATCATTCTGAACAATGACGATTATTACAACTAATTGACAAATATAAGTTTTACTACCTAGTATTCTCATGAAAATTTGGAATTACAACTAGGCACATAAAATTTATTTCGTCATACTTCTTTAGCAGTACAAAATTAGACACCTTAAAGAAAGAAAAGGCCAGCTATGTTACACAAATTATTGTCAACATTTTACAATCATTTTAAAAAAAGGCTCTTCAATGATTATTATAGGGTGAAGTGGGAGAATGAGCGAAGTTTCATATAAAACTTGAGTTTAAAAAGTCCTAAGAAAATTTGTGAGGTGAAGTCAGAGAATGGCTGTAAGTTGCACGAGTTGTAGTATATATATGGTTTTTAAAGAGTGTGGTGGATTTAGAGGGGTTATGAGAGGAGTTTGAGAGGGAACTACAACCAAGAATATGTTTTAAAAATTGCGAATTTTGGCGGGGTTTTTGCAAGGATGTTTACGGGAAATCAGCGAGGAGTATGAAAACAAATGTCGATCTTTTTCAAAATGATGTGGAATTTGAACGCTTTCATACGGCTATTGCGGAGATTTGTGGTAAGTCTGCGGGAGACGATGTGAGTGACTGAAAAATAAAATTATACCCTTATGTTTCTACTACATATGTATAGGTAGATATCTATGTATGAATACCAAACAGTATTTTTATATGTCTTCAACTTTAATATTTGAATTTTTCAAAAACTGAAAATGTAATCGCTTTTCGTGACCACCCGATATATGTTTGTTCTAACATTATTTTACTGTACTTTAAGTTAAATCCATCACAAAAATTGCAGCTAGATTTAAATGAAACATTTTCAAGTTCGGAATCCGTAGGTTCTTAATTTAATTCGTTTCTAACCTCATTGAACTAATAATCGAACCGATTTTACTGTCCAGCAAGAAGACGAATATTTTCTGGACACAGCCTGTGTGGTGAACATCTTGGATAACATGTAATACGTACCCATGTGAGCCCCACTCCCCGACACTCCTGCGTCAGTGTGTCGCAATAACATCAGGTGCACTCTTGGTGCTTTCTATGCTAAAGGGACGCTTCTGGTCAACTTCAATGACAGCCTCGGTCTTGAAGCGCGAGTCCAACACCTGCGGACACCTCACTGGCTTTGCACCCATAGACCTTTGTGAGCTGTTGCCACTGCTTCCCGTATAATCGCCAGCCTCTTTTTCACGTTCCACCAGACAGTGCCTCTCCTTATCCCTCTCTTCGTGACCGTAGATAAACCCGTAGTGTTCGCCAGAACCTACGGTTTTCTGTCTCTGTATAGAGAACCTCGGCGAGGGTCGGCTGCTGCTCAGCGAGTTTGAGTGCTCACGTTCCGGCTCGGTTGTTAATTTCACCGGACTTCCGCCGCTACTGGAACTTTGCGGTTGCTGTATCTGTAGCCTCTGAAGACTGGACAAATCTTCTGCAGTGTAGACAGACTCATGGGCTGACCAGCCTGGTGGTGCTGGTACTATCGGCGTCAGGCTGTGTCGCGGGCACAGGTCCAAAGTCCGGGGTACGGCTGATGGATGACAGACGGAGCAGCGCTGGCTCACATGTGGACTGATGGGTTCAAGCTTCTCAGGTGGCGTTCCAATTTCTGTATCATTGCTATGATGATGGTGTTGGTGGTAGGAAGCCTGATGATGTGGATGGTAATGAGGATGTGCGTGGTGGTGATAGTGGTGGGTTGGATGATAGTCCAGAGAGGGCTTGCGTGAAGCGGTCAACGGCGTAGTCTGTAAACATGTAGGAATTATTTTGTTAGAATACGACGTATATCCAAATTATACTTTACGCATGACAGTTGTGTAAATATGTGTTCTATAATTAAGAGAATCGATCTATGATCATTTCATTATACACTTTAACAGTTCTAAAAGAATATCTTCTTTATGAAACTGGAAGAAAGAGGTTTTGAAATTAACTAACATCTGTTAACCACTTCTGGCCTAAAAAACTGTACTTTGCTTTTTTTTTCACGAATACTAACTTTTAATTTCTGACGCGGGAAAGATGTATCGTAGATACATAATAAAATTAAAGTAAAGAAGGATCAAATTGCACAAGTGTTTTTAAAATTATTTTGTCACCTTCAATCTAATTCTTGGTAATAGAACATGTTCATCTAGAGATTTATTTTGCTTTTACGAGTATGTCACTTGTCAGTAATATACGACGATCGAAGATTTAAAGATTACTCTTTTCCTTTAAAAAACAGTTCATAACATTAGTGTATGCAATAAGTTGTTTATTTTATAAAAATTATCATGAAAGAATATTTGCAATGAAACTATTCAGGACAGTAATTTTAAAAATGTACATCTCCACATAGTCTCTTGCAGAAAAGAACAAATTTCAAATTTTGGTTCCCAAAAAAACTAATGTGCCAAAATGTAACTCAAAAACCAAGAGGTTGAGTAGCTGATTGTGTTTTGAAAAATAATAAGTTCTAGTCATTGAACAGTATCAATAACTAAGGAAGTAAATCCATTACAGGAAAAAGAAAATTAGAATGCTATAGTACGGGTTACAAATCGGTGTATAGTAATAAAAAACCATTTTGAATATCGAATGTATCTAATAATTACCGTTTGTATGCCAAAGGTCGTAAAGGCCGGATGAGCCGAGGGCTTGAGTATTAAGCCTGAGTCGAAGATGCTTTCCCTGGTCTGGCAGCCCATCTCGCGAGTCTCTCGCTCCTCACTGGATTCTTGAAGACGTTCCTGCGTCGCATTGCTCACGTTGTTGCTCTGATGGATGTCACTTAGGTCAACTGACAGCCCAACACTGCGTTCTCTTACGTAATCTCGGTCTATGGACGCCATCGGTGATACGAGCTCCTTCGGATGGGCTAGAATCTCAAGACTCGGGGTTTCGCTACCGTGACGATGAACGTCACCCCCGAGTTCCGTGCAGCCGTCGAGAATAGAGCATGGTGTCATCTTGCGGCCAAGCTCGTCTAGCTTTCGTTCGCGCGATTGACGCAAATGCTCCTGAAAAAAGATTGAAAATAATCAAGGAATATATGTATGAACTCTTTGCTTCCATTTTAAAAAATTTGTATGGTAAGTTCCATTAATTTTGTCTAAGACTTATGTATGTCTATTATATTTTGAATATTTATATTGAGAACTGAAACTGATTACTTTGATGTACAAGAAAATAACCAGAATAGAAAATTTTAAAGCATATTGATTATGGACTTCAGAATTGATATATTTTGGCTAAGGCACTAGATGATACCACGTGATAAGTACTTATACCAGTAAAATATACTATAAGGTATTTCATCCACATACTGACAAGAGCTAATGGAATCTGCTTGTAACGTTACTTTGATTTGTTCGTAACACAATTTACAATTTCAAAGTATCAGGGAGAAAGCGTACTGTCATGAGTTCCGTTCATATTAGGTACTTAAGAAAAATACGATATTAAGATTTTATTACATACGGAGTAACAGAAGGATTAAGCGATTCGGGACGTATGAGTATAAAAGGTTTTTACCCAGAATATATGAAATAAATTGTAATGAAAATGACAAGGATCATTATTTAAAGTTGTGTGGTAATGAGAATTTGTTTATTTTCCAGACAAAGAATTTGAGATTTTCCCTTTAAAAACCTTGGCGATTCACTAAATTTTCAATGTTAGATGTGATATATCGTAAATTCATCTTCTTCATTAATTGCCCACCTGGAAAAGACAGAATTCTATGTGGAATTACTTCTGTAATACCGTCAGAAAAGCTATATGGCAATATACAAAGAGTTTTAGCTTGGTGATGCCATATGTTATTTCATATGAAAAAACACATGTAATTAATAATTGGAAAAAGAAAAAAGTTTGTCATCTAGAAATAACTGCGAAATACCATAATAAGTTATTTACAGTTAGTAATCTGTATTACCATCGGGATGATACGGTCAAAACGAGGGGTTCAGGGGTCAGATTGAGTTCTTCGATATACGCAATAGCTTTCGAGATTTACTGTCGTAGTATACCTTTGAACATCAAAAAGTTAGCTTTCTGTTACGTTTTTGCCATAAGATTGGTGGTGAGACGGTTAATCTCGAACCGTATTGCGTATATCGAAGCACGCAATGAGACCCCAGCTGATTCTACTTATATATAAAAAAATTAAATTTTTCTTTTCTTTTTTTAATTCCTGAAATATAACTTGAAATCTCTTATTTTTGAGTTATCATCTCGATGGTAGCATTGATTGCTTGCAGTAAATGACGGGTTTCAGTATTCTGCACTTATTTTTAGATAACAAAATTTTTTATCTTTTCCAATACGTAATTCCATATGCTTTTTCAAATGGAATTGCATATGGCATCACCAAGCTAAGACTCTTTATGTAATGTCATACGTAAAACCAGATGTAATGCCACATAGCTTTCCTGAAGGTATTACTGAAGTAATACCACATAGAATTCCGTCATCGTTTTACAGGTTGATGAATGTATTAATATCCTGCAATTCTCTGTATAGTCTGAAATGCTGATTCTTATCATTATTTTACCTGTTCCATAACTTCTACACGTATATTTCAATTGATTAGTATACAATGATATAAAAGATAACCTGCAATAAATACGGCATACAGATCCAGTCTAGATCCATTCTTTATACTATTTTAAGTATAGTTCAACTAATTATATTTCACGCTATCGGAGTATAATTAAAAAAAAATTGGATGTGGTTTATTTCTCAGCCGATCAGTTAAAAGCTATGCAAGAACGTGTAGATATAATGTATAAAAGTGCGTAAATTTAAGTACCAGTCGTTCTCGTTTGTAGCTGAGATCGACAAGATGCCACACTAAAGAGTCCAGATGTTAATCATGTACCAAAGGAATCCATTTCTTTTCTTTTGACTTCTTTCTTTTTAAATTAATACTACGAACAAGCTTGAATCACAACGAATTGTTGAACTTGGCTGGTTAAAAGTCTTTCGTAGGTGTGTAGCATTTGAATGCGTGACTTTTAATTAATCAACTTAGAATGGCGCTACATTCTTTTGAAGGTACACGCAGAAAAGAATTACAGGAATTTTCACCGTAAAAGCAACGGTAATCCTGTGATAATTTGTCACTACGTAAATTTTTACCGTGGTTTACAGTAATTTTTATGGTAACTGTAAAATTTATCCAAAATTCACTATAATTTTTACTGTACGGCAAAGGTAAAATTTCCCCTAAAATTGCATATAGCTATAGGCTGCAGGGTCACGTGGGCTGTAGGGAAGGGCTGACCAGATGTCTACTGTAGTGGGCTATATAACCTGAATGAGAGCACAAGATAGACATAACATCTGTATTACCGAAATCAACGTATAGATGAAAGTACGGGTATCTTTTATGAATGGCTATAAGCGAAGGTGTACTGCATCATGTGTCCAACAATTCGTTAAGTACCAATTCTATTAATGCAAATATCCGCACAGGTCTAAAATTTGTAGGTTAGTCCGCGCTTTAGCAGACAAGTGATCAGGTGCTCGGCCTTCCCCTCCAGCCCACGTTACCCTGCAGCCTATAGCTATATATACTCTTTCAGGGGAAATTTTACCGTTGCCGTACAGTAAAAATTATAGTGAATTTGGAATAAATTTTACAGTTATCATGAAAATTACTGTAAACTACGGTAAAAATTCATGAACACCTACGGTAAAAATTTACGTAATGACAAATTATCATAGGATTACCGTTGCTTTTACGGTAAAAATTCCTGTAATTCTTTTCTGCGTGTAGTTTATGCACAAAACGAGATTTTCTTACAAAAACGTTGAAACTTGGAATAAAATCTATTAACATTATCTGATAAAAGTGGTAAATGTTTTTAAAAAATTTGGAAGGCTGTTTCCAAGACATTTAATTTCCGATTCACATGTTTTAACACAAATTATTATGAACTAGTAATTTGAAAATGTCTGTTTTCGTCAATAAGTCCAAAAATTTTTTTACTATTCTCGCAAAAACGATTATAATATGTAAAGTACAACTGCTACTCATCTACCAAAAATATTAAAAATATATCCTGTACCGTTTCAAATATATCTCAAGTTTTAAAAACTCACTACATCTTTAGTAAATTTGCATAGTAATTTTGCCATTTCATTGAATTCGTTCCCCCTTTTTTTAGGTTTTGATATGTTACGTTTATTAAGAATATTGAAGTGCATACTGACGATAATTAACAATAATTTACAAAACCAAGGACTATTTACTTGATCTTAATAGATTAAGAGCTACTGGGGGTGTTGAACTAGCTTTATTAGGTCATACTTTGAGGGCATGAATGAGAATCCGTTCAACACCTGTTTAACTTTTTCTTTTATTTCTATTAACTGATAAAAGCGATAGCTGATAATGGTATGCGTTGTTATAAACTATTGACCGTTTTTATAACTCCTACTTTTATTAATTTTTTTTATGAAAATATGTACCAAATGGGACATTTTTTGTGGATTTTCTCATATATACAGAAAATAAAAAGAGGGAAAAAGTCAATATAATAGTATTCACGTTGAGTGGCGGAGTGTGAGAGGGTCACGATTAATAGGTTCTGGCACATTCAACACGATGCCAACTGCAGAAGAGCCAGAGATCTGACCGCATCATGCCTCACTATAATATATGCCAATTTTATTACGTTTCTGGAAAATACGGCTCAACGTAGGCGTATATTAGTAGTCCCTGTGTTGCATACTGACATCGCCCTCCTTCATTGATCATAAGTAATGAAATTTCAGAGGCTGGTGAATGCAGAAAGCTTGGATGCTCGAAATAGAATTATAGTTCTTTTACTTTGCTACCTTTGTTCGTTTACCATTCCCATGGTTTGTAAATCTCAAAAAAAAGTTTATTGAAAACAACGAAAAAGGAATCAATAATAATGTTACTTTCAAAAGCTTGCTTATATAAACAGTTAAAATAAAATTACTCCGGTTGTTAATTACAACGATTATCAAAGAAATAATATTTTTTAATGGTTTTCAATTTTTATGAAACTTTTATGAATTAAGGAAAGTTCAAGTAGTAAAAATTTGTTTATTAGCATGCTAACAACACAATTACCATCCTCGCATTTCACTGTGGAAGGCAATTCAACATGCAATACAGGATAAATTATTTACTCCCCTGTCTTCCACATATACAATGTACAAAGTATTATTGGGAAAGATTCTTTGAAAATTTCTTGATCTGTTTCAGTAATTCTAGTTAGTTCATAAATATACTGGCTTACTAAACTGAATTGTAGTTTTTAAAACAGCAAACTTACTCTTATTATTCGATGATCATGTATCAGCTTTTTTATACAGTTGAATATGCAGGTGAAGCACAGGCCAGACATGAGAATTGTAAAAACGACGAGGATAATGATGACGTGCTCAGAGCTCATGTTAAGACCCGATGCTTTTGTCTGAAATTCACAGAAGTACTCTTCAATGATTCGTCAAAATGTATATCTTTGATTAAACAGACAAATATGTTCACATAATCGCTATACTATATATCAGTCAAAAAGTTTTCTTATCGTTATGCAATACTCTTAGTAATACTAAATTTTAGTCCTGAAACAACATATTTATATCATACGAACTAAGTAGATTTTATTGTATGATTTATCAATATGTAAAAACTGCTCATGGATAACAGTAGATTCTTTGAATTATGTTGATTATTTTTAGAAGAGAAACGTGAGTAGATCGATATCTAGTACAATTGTAAAGATAACATTATTAATAGGCAGTAAACAATAACAAAAATATGTCATATCTTGGCTCATCTCTGACTGACAGTAAAAGTCATACGTGCGAGCACGTGAGTATATTTATGTACATGAAGTGTTGTTTGTCTAGATAATTCTACCGGATGACGCGATTAGTTTTCACAAATGATATTCACAAGCAAAATCATTGACTAAACTTTAGAGTCTATAGACATTTAGTCGCATTTAGTAGTCCGATGTTGGTGTAAACGGTTCTAGAACGAATATTGATTGTCTGACCAAACACACTTTGTACCACTGACTTGACTTCTATTAAGAAGAATTGACAAGTTTCTATGTATTCGTGTTATTTTTTTCACCCATAAATTATTAAAAAATAACCATTTTGAAATTGTCTCCATGAATAGTAAAGTCACAATGTAAAGATTGGATGACGGCGTAAATGCGTTCGTGTGCTGTGGACATTGATCATTTTTATACAAGTTGTATGAATGCAGTTATTAGTCAACCCAGAAATATAAATGAAGAAGAAAATTATTGTAGGTAGATAAATCAAAACTCCAAAACCAAAAAGTTCAAAACTTCAATAAGCTTCTTCGGTATAAAATTTGTGTAAACGTAAACGAAATTCGACCAATTATAATAGAGGCCATAAATAGGGTTGTTGACATTTTTTTTTTAAGTAAATCATTACAGCATCAACTTAAGATTTTAATATGGATCAATTTCATCCATTTACGTAAATATTAAAAGTTTTCCTATCTATTTGTATATTTTTACAGTTTTTTTGAGCATACCAACTACATACCAAAACTATTTTTTTCTATTTTGAGTGATGGCTTCAGATACCAAGGCGTTAGATTTAAAATTTTTTTTTTACGAATGATCCGTCGTTTTAACTTAGAAGCCTAATTTTAACGTTTAAGCAACGGACTCATAAGCTATTCATACTTGAGGTTTTGAGATGGTGAAAATTTCATTTCTCAATTACAGTAGTTGATTAATTTCAATATTAACAGTAGTCTATTGAAGGCATTTAAATATCATAGCAGTGTATCTTTATTATTCAAAGAAGCTAGGAATTTTGGTAAATAAAATAAGACACACCAAGAATAAACGAGAAAAGTGGGTTAAACAAATTTTCTGTGAAACAGATCTGAGCGAGGATTGAGAATGGAAACATGTTATGTCTAATGTTTTAATATTTTAAAGGTTCTCTGATCTTGTTACAGAAGCATCCCCTGATTGAATTTTAGTGGAAAAAAATAAAGATGAGCATCGCTGGTGACCTAGTGTACGTAATTGAGTATAAAAAGTGAAAAAGATGAAAAGAGAGAGAGAGAAAGAGGGAGAAAAAAATATCGAGGAGTGAGAAAAGGTGAGAGAGAAAAAGATTTTTTTTCTTGATCATACGGCTTCTAGGAGGTGACGCTAGACATTGGACGTAAGCTGTGGAAAAAAGAAGACGAAAGAGATAAAATAGTATACAGGATAGTACAAGAAATTAATTAGTAAATACTGGTATCCAAAGATGAGAAATATCCTAAGAGATTATATGAAAATCAAATCATTTTAATTAAGTTTTTGTTTCAAGTTATTGAATAAGTAAATGACAAACACTTGCAGAATTAACTGTTAATTGAAAAATGTTTCGAGTCAATGAGATGAAAACAACACAATCGATGAAAGTGAGTATTTAAAATGACTAAATAGTAAATGCCAGCTATGAATAAACAGAGTTTTACACCACACGAAGCCCGAAACTGATTTGTAACCTGCTAGGCGCACAGTAACGTATCAGTTCCGGTCCAGATGAGGTGCAACTCGGCTTTATCTCATGTGACAATACACACGAAATCTGGATCATTCTTTACTTCACCGCCCTAGGTATGTAAATAGCTATTACTCATGCAGCGATTAACAAATGTTGATCTGTACGATCGTAATTATTTATTATTTATTCTTAGCTATCGTACAGTAGATAATAAATAAATATTTGTTTGTAAATATAATTGTAAAAGTAAATTATTTGATTCAATAATTGATAATCCATTCCGATAACTAGAGTAAACAATTTTTTGCCGTACTTACTTTATTTTAACATGTGAATGACGATGAATTATATAAAAAAACGGAGCCACTCGTCTTATTTAAAAACTAATGTAGTAAACTACATTCCAAGAATCTGCTACAACAACGCCTTCGAGGGCTCAAATTTATACTTTGCATCTGAATGATGTGTATTCTTTTTCTTATCGGTGTGAGTGGTGTGAGTACTACCCAGAAGATAATGCAGTAGTATTTTCCCGAGGCACATACATGATTTTTTTCTCTCCTCTGTTAAAAATACGACTTTTTTCGTGATTTCAGGCGTGGACGTGCTATACAACCCTTCGAGTAAAAATCGCAATTATTACTTATTAGGACGATATTTCGGCAATTTCTGCAAGGAAATTACCTCCTGATCCGTACGCTAGGAGGTAAACACGCAGATTGTGGTCAAAATACTTTCTTATGAGAGGTAGTATTCGTCACTGAAATCGGAAAGGAAAAATTGTATTTTGGAGGGCATATGGAGAAAAATTATTCAATTTCATGTTTGAAATATTAAGTTCAATATTTTTAAACATTTTTCTGAAGTGTCAACAGATAGTAATAAATTTATCTATATAGAAATAAATATGATAGCTTACGAAAATTAAAATTAATTTAGTAAAATTTTACGTTGAAATACAATTTTTAAATTGCATTACACTTATTCAAATGTAGTCAATTAGTTAAAAATTTAAATAGTAATTGCTCTTACGAGTTTTCTTCAATTTAAATATTTTTCATCAGCAATATTCTAATTATAAAAAATGTTTGATGTTTCAACAGAAATTCACAACTTTTGATTTTAAAAACAATATAAAGAATATAAGTCATTCGAAATTTTTTTCGGAATTATGATATTTCTCTTTAAAATTTATCTTTGAATGGTATTTATTAATCTTAATAAACTGAGTTGTTAAAATCTTTGCACATTAACTGACAAATTTGCTTATGAATGTTAATAAATGCTAGAAAAATTTCGTTTTGAATTGAGGTTTATTGATTTTAATACATGCTTTTATTAAATTACATAAACTTTTCTATAAAATTTATAATATTCTGTATTAAATTATTTTAAGTAACTAAAGTATAAATCTTAAGGTACAAGTCTTTCTTAAATATTTCTTAAATTTAAGAATTCTTTGGATGACAAAAAATCACAAATTTTTTAACTGTGAAAGTAAGTGGTGATCAATGAATTTTAACTATGATGTTGACGGTAGCTCACAGTAATTTTTTTGCAGCTGACAAATTCATGTTAGTCAGCTATGCTTTTAATTTTCAAAGCTCCACACAGAAAGTACAAAAATATTTTCCTAACAAGCAGTGAATGCAATTTTCCAGAGAGGGTGCACTTTACTCATTGAAAGTACGAAAATAGTGGTAGTTTTCGTACCTGGGGGCGCATGTCGCCAGGACAAGCACCAGGCTCCTTGTGCTTGCCCTGCATGGTTGGATGCGCACCAGGTGCTAACCCTATTTTTTCTACCGAGGGCACCACTGACCCTCAAAAACGCCCAAGGTAGGAAAATGTACTTTTCCGACCTCGGTCGTTTTTAAGGGTCACCTGATCGGAAAAAGATTATGGATTCCATACAGGAGTATATGGGCCTCTATTGGTTGCCATAAGCATACATTCACAGACCATATTGTTCGTGTTACCAGGCGCATGTATGGGCTGTATACGGAGTCCGTAAGTTATGGTAGCCGTAGACTGCCTGTATGAGGCCCGTAAGGATGAAAATGTATAGTATGGATTATATTCTTTCCAACTCCAAAAAAAAATTAACAAGTTGTTATTGTTAATATTGTACTTGTAAACTTAACTTGCTTGTAATAATTAATATAAAAAAGTGGCTAAATTTATGCAAAGACTGCGCTTTTTGTTAAAAAAAAATGTTAGATTCCCACGGGATGAAAAAAAGAAACCCCTAGAACACAACGATTATCGCCCTTAACTTTGCATTGAGTGTCAATCGTATGTATTCTGAACAAGCTAATATTTTATCGTTTATTGCGATTTATGCCGCTAATTTTATCTTATAGACAAAAATTTTAGTTACAAAAAAGTTATATTTTTTTAGGATCTATGAGTTTTACGTTAACTTTGTAATCTAAAACGTAAATAAAAAAACGATTAAGTTAGATAGGGGAAAACGATAAATTTGAAATTTTTCGCCATTTTTGCAATTTAGAGCACAAATTTGGTATTATAACGAATATGTTAAATACAAAAAATTCGTATTTCGACAAGACCTTCCACGATCATGTTTAGTTTATTATCTCAAGTGCAAAACAAAAATTTGGATGGAGGAGAACGACTTTTTTATGATTTTACAAGCACTTTTCAGCTCATCGAACGTGTGGGTTACATCCTAATTAAAAATGTTTCATACAAAAAAGTTGTGTTGAAGATATACAACTTTTATATACAATATTAGAATCCAAAATACAAAATAAATAAGTTCGATAGGAAAAAATTACGTTTTTGTGATTTTTGAGCGCTTTTCGGCTCACAGAATGTTTGGGTTACATCCTGGACGAAATTTTTAAATACCAAAAAGTTGTATTTCAAGTATATCTACAACTTTGTCTTTCACAGAAAATCTAGAAAATATTACGTTATAAAGTTATAGCCGAAAAAACTTTTTTTTTCACTAAAAGTACCATCTTAAAACGACTGCCATTTTTTTTCTAAAATAGGAAACCTTACGGATCTTAAACCATCACGTAAGACATAAAAGACAAAGCTATTTGTCAAATTTCAGCCCAATCCAATAAAAACTGCTTGAGTTGATCAAAAAACTTGATTACGCCTATACATACAGACGTGCATACATACACCTCTGATGCTGAGGTCCGTGGTCGCAATTTTTTTTGTACCAAAACTTTTTTTATACAAAAACAATAAGCTTTAAAGGTACTTACACTTTTTGCTTTGGCAAAAGTTTAAGGAACTCCTAAGTATCAGTCGTGCCTAAAAATGGATAAGTCATACGAAAAATGTTTATACAGTAAAAAAATTTATATGATGGGTAAAAGTAAAAGAAAAATCGAGGAAGTAGAAAATTGCTCCGAAAACGTGGAAACTAGAATCATGGTCAGATAGAAAATGCGAAATAATTTAAACAAACACTAGGACAAGTTTTTTTAAATAAACATATAATTCTATGTGTAAGCTGTTTATTTATTTCATATCAATCTTCTTCTCATATTATCTCCATAATTACAGTAAGATATCAATTTTTTTTGTTGTTGTTTATATACCTACAGCTATCATTTTTACAAAAGGTTACGTTTCATCCTTAAAGAGCCAGATACAGACACTGCATGGCCCGTGGCATATACGGTTTCCATACACTGCCCGTACACGCGCCTGGTAACACTCCTTTACGGATCTGTTATGGTGCCAAATACTGCCCATGTCCCAGGGTTATGGCATCCGTGTCGGGCCTTGGACGTGCCGCAAGGTCTTTTTCCGATTGGGCAGGTGTGCCCTCGGTAGGAAATTGTATATTACGTACCTAGGCCCCAGTGGGGCTATTACTGACCGCGCTATATTATCGGCTGAGCCGAAGGCGAGGCCGGTAATGCGCGGTCAGATGTAGCCCCACTTTTTGGCCGTGGTACGTATACTTTTTTTCCTTACACCTCCGCCAAAAGTTCGTCACCACGGTTTTAGTTTTGTTAAAAATGAAGGTTTAAAGATCCAGTCAAAGATTTAGTGCATTATGCATTATTGTTGATCGATCGGTCGCTCGAACAATACCACTTAAATGCACGTAGATGAGCGTTCATGGGTATAGGTATATCTATATGTATACGCTCGCCGAGACTGTAGTATATTATATAGAATCAGATTGGGCCGAGGATTTGTGCAGGTTGGTCGTGCTGGCAAAACGGGAGGAAGAGAAATCCGTTTAAATTCGAATTATGGATCCTATAAAGATTATTTTAAAAATCCTAATGTTTATATCCGTAAGTGAAAAATAAATCAGGTTATTATCAATAACTATTATAATTGTGATAGGCATAATTCGATTAAATAAAAGATTTCATAGTTTATTTTTGTAATATGACATGTATATACTACATTTACATACTAAACAAATCATTAAAGTGAAAGTAACTGATCAAAAAACATTAATTTGGTAGTTTTAATTTTGTGTTGTGTACTATGTTCATATGAAATTAATAAATTTATATGTACATGTAAATTGTGCAAAAAAAAAAATATATATATATACATCCAATAATTTATGTAAATAAATATCCAACGATTTTCTGTGTTGTATAAACTATAAAGGTTATAACTCCGTTAGCCGTATATATGTATTGTATAACTACTGCTGCTTCTCGGTGCTGAATATATAACTATATATATCTGCGCACTTCATTCTGCGCACATATGGCAGGACTGATATAAGGCTTTTTCTAGCTCAAAATCGGGTCAGATGGAACGAAGTTTCGGCGGAGGTGTAAGGAAAAATAGGATTCGCCACATAAGTGCCATCGCTCACTTATCCAACGAAAGCTACTATTGTGCCCATGGTAAGAAATGGTAGTTTTCGTCATATGGCGTGGTGTTTTTCATCCTAGGGCACATTTTCCGCCCGCTAATTACTTTCCACCTACGGCTGGAAAGAAACATTCTGGCTCTGCTGGACCCAAAGTTAGTTCCCACCCTACGGTGGAAAGTAATTGCCGGGCGGAAACCATGTCCATGGGCGCAAAGTTGCACTTTCTGCCCTTGATACAAATAATGTCGTTCTCACATCGGGCAAATACATACAACAACCACGCCCTTCGAGAGCGCAAGTTGTACTGTCTGCCCTAGATGAGGAATAGTATACTTCCGCCTTCTAACCTCAAAATAGCACCTTCGCCGCTTGATTTTGGGTTCTCAGACTGAAAAATAGTATACGAAACTCGTTCGAAAAGGCTTCTTTACGAACCTAGTTACGGCTCTATTCAACTCGTGCCATAAACCTCTTGGTTCGTAAATCGAAGCCTTTAAAAACTCGTACGTTACATACTATTACGCATCTAGTCAGTGAGATTAAGAATGTCTTAAATTCCACTTAAATGAACGTGAAATCTAACGCGTTCCTTAACCTCCGAACGTAGTACGTATATTATTTTTTACCAATCCTGCACCGGGAGAAGCAGAACGAAAGTTCCTACTTTCGGCGCAGTATGGTGAGGAGGTAGTTTTCGTATCTGGTGGCGCATGTTGCCAGAGCAAGCACAAGATTCCTTGGGTTTTCTCTGGTTGGATGCGTGCCAGACGTAAATCCTATTTTTCCTACTGAGGGCGCACTAAACGTCCAACTGTAAAAAAAAAAAAAAAAAACGACCAAAAGTAGGAATAGTATATTACTCACCTATGGAGGAAAAATAAAGAATGTCTCAGATTTCAGGCAATTGACATGCGATAAACTGATAAACATGCGATCTGAGGAATTCTTTGTTCCCTCCCGTGGAATAACTTTGTATAAGATTTTCCATCAATCCTGCGTCAAGAGAAGGGAACGAAAGTTCCTGCTTTCGGCGCAGTATGGTGAAAATGGTATATTGCTCCGCAGGTTTCTCAGGGTTTGTGCGCTACCAGGTACGAAAACTACTATTCATAATTGTTAAGGAAAAATCATGAAAATCTTGATCGTTTATATTTATTGTAATGAAGCTTTTAACTCTGAAGGTTTTATTGTAATGAAAAGTACGTATTCGTAATGTTTATTGTAATTTTCATAATTTTTAAGTACTTCAGAATATTTTAGCTTTTGAAATTTATGTTCATGATCAATAATATAATTTGTGTTAAATTTATTGATAAACTGATGAATTCAGTAGGTTGAGAATTACTGCAAAGTACCAAATTTCGTTTAATTGGGTGGGTGACAATTATAGTTTATTTAAATAAAAATATCATAAAAAACTTACACTACAAATATCGGCATCCTCATCGAAACGATAGCGACAGTTTGGTCGATTATTACAGCGCAATTCGTCTGCAATGCAAGCATCTTGGCAGTCAAACTCGTCAGCATTGCAAACTGGAGAAAAAATTGTTTTCATTTAAGTTTGTAAATTATTTGATAAACAATTAGTATGAAGTACTTCATTATAAGAGAAAGTATTTGTTGGTACTTTTAATATAATGTTGTATCTCAATGGCAAGCTCTAAGATTTTTTATCTAGTATTAAATTGTAAAACATGTTTTTCAATTATTCATGATTGATGTAATCAAATAGTTCTACTTTATGAATAGTAATATAAAAAAATATTTATTAAATACGAGCTGAATGTATTTCAAAGACCAGTATGTAAAATTAAGAAGTAATGCTTTTAATAAAAGTTAGTTAAAAAACAGTTTTTAAATCAAAATATAAAACAGCATCTTCTTATCATGATAAAAAATTTTAATGTTAACTTTAATAATAAACGTAGTTAAGAAAGAAAATGGATTTCAAATGAAGTCTTATGTGTTCCAATATCCAAACTGTTGCTGTTGGATTTAACTTTGTACATAAAAAAATTAATGCTGTCCGTTACTGATAAAAAAAAAGTCACATTAACATAAGTAATACTGAATAAAAACTCCTTTATTGATACTAAAATAAGATTTTATTGAGTATGAGTAATCAACCATATAATCATAGTTGTCATTTATTTAAATTGTCACTCAATTATCATGTTTAAAGATGTGCCTATGAAAGACGTAGTATGAAGCGAACTTTTCTTCTGCTCCTTGTATGTAGTATTAGTATTCTTAAAAACTCGCGAATATTGGTCTTTGATCATAATACTTCTTAATAACATGAGCCCATAAATAATTTTTTAATAAATGGTAACCTTTATCTTTGCTTCCTTCCTTTTCGCGTATGGTTGTCATAATGGCTTCAAAACTACTATTTATGGCAGCTTTGGTAGCAAAAAAACGAAGGTAAACTTCATTTCCTTTACTAGTCACTAGATCTGCTATACTACCGCAAAAATTATTTATTAAAGATGGATTATGTATCATTGACGGTTCCCTGTCGTATACTTGCACGTAATTTATGTCGCATTCATTGGGTTTGTCCAAGTGAAATTTAGGGAATGTCATTTGAATCTGAAAATATAATAGAAACATTAAAAATACTTACGAGATAAATTATTTACATAAACTTTATTTATAAAATATTTTTAATGTATTAAAAATGTATTTTACATACAATTCTTATTTGTTGCGTGTGAAAAATGAAGTGCGTGCATTAAATATTCTCACTTTTTATGTTTAACAAGTTTAGCTATTGTTTATTGTAACAAGTTTGAACATTGGTTATTCAAGATTTTTTTTCTATCATGAATAAAATAAGGTGTAAGTAGTACGATTCATTAAAATTTAGCTGTACCAGACAAACATAAAAATAAATAAAAATAAATCAGTCAAAAAATATATACATGTATATTTTTTGTCATTAAATTGCATAACACCAGAATAAAAAAATTAAAGGTAAAAACAATTTTTTTTTTTACAAATAAAAAAAAACTTTATAAAAACTTTGTGAAAAATA